TTCCTCTCTGTAAAAAAAAAAAAAAAAAAAAAAAAAAAAAAAAAAAAAAAAAAAAAAAATCAGTAAAATATTAAAAACAAACAAACAAACTAGTCTGCTATATTAAAAAAAAAAAATCATGTCCTGTCTAATCCAAGCTCCTACATTCTAGTAACTCCAACCTTTGCCCTTTATCCTCCAGCCCTAAAAAAAAGACCTGCTTCTTGCACTATAACTTAGGGCTTTTCTTTTGCATTTTCACTTTTCTAATAGCTGTTAAACAAATCCCTAACATTAAAATATTTTTGGTAAAACCAACAAAAAAGCCTAGATTCTATTTTTCTGACTTGATCTTAATGGATTCACTGTCTTATAAGGTTATTTTGAGGATGAGATAAACTGGCAGATAGTTCAGTACATCTTATGTAAAGGGTACTCAACAGGTAATAATGATTTCCTACCGCCCACATCTCTTCTCCACTCTACTATGCTCCAACTAACCCAGTCGCCTGGCCAGGGCCTTAGCAAAGAGTTTTTAATAAATCAAGATAGTAGTAAAGAATACATATTATATAACTTTGAGTCTTATGTTATTACTCTGCATAGCGTAAGTCAAGTTGTTGCCATACTGACTTTTCAAGGTTACATTTATCCTTGTGAATATAGTTTGTTTGTTTTTCAAAATACAGTTCAGTTTTAAAAACTTCAGAAGCATAAATGCTACAAACTTACAAGTTTCAAATAAACTTTATTTGAAAAATTTAAGGATTTACATTTATTTTACATTTTGTAGCTCTGCCAATTTTGAATAATACATTTTTATTTTAATATTTTAGTTCCTTTGGTTTAAGATGGAAACTATTGGCTGAAACAAGAAATTAAGTCTTTTGAGACAACCTGTGTCTTCACTTTGTGCTTACTGAAATGCTTAATAGATACTTCAGGTCTATGGCTATGACCATTAACAAGTTTGAAATTAAAAAAATATATATTTGAAAAAGATGCGTCCCAGTTCTAAAAATATATTTTATTTATTTTTAAATTTAATTATATAGTTACAAATTTATAGAGAAGTTAGAATTACAGTAAAATATACTTTTCTGCATCATTAATATTTAGTTGTCACACCTAATGCCCCATTCACCCCTTGATGTGTATTTCCTACAACAGATTTTTTTTTTCTACATAAACACAACACAACCATAAGTCAGAAAGTTAACACTAATGCATTTCTAGTATCTAATCCTCAGAATCCATTCAAATTTTTCCAATTGTCCCAATAATGTCCTGTATAGCAAAATAATCCAGTTCAGAATCACATTACATTTTGTTGCCACATATCTTTCATCTCTTTCATTCTAAAATAGTCTTCCATCTTCCTTTGACTTTCATGACCTTGACACTTTTAAAGGATATTTTATGGCATGTAACTCAACTTGAGTTTGTTTTATGTTTCCTCCGTGATTAGATTCATGGTATGCAGATTCATCCGGGATATAACATAAAAGCAATGCTATATTTGTGTCATTTTGTCCTATTAAGTGGAACAAATATTTTATTTATCCCACTGTGACAATGTTCACATTGATCTATTGGTTAAAGTACATCTGCCCAGTTTCCCACTGTAATTACTTTCCCTTTACAATTTATCAGTATTTTGTAATTGTGTATATTCTTTTCCTCATCAACATTTCAATTTATTCATTACTTAAGACATATAAGTATAGATTCATGAATTCCATTACAGTCTTTATTACAATACTCAAATTTTTCAAGATTTGATTGAGGGCCCCTTTAAACTGGCTTTTGTGCTCTTTGATATGTCCTCAACATTCTTTTAGCAATTCTTTGTCTTTTAGTACAAGATGATATTCCATCTCAAATTGTCCTCAGCCCTGAATTCATCCATTTCTTCAGAAAACCCTGGTTTTCATAGCAGAACATGGCATTTAGAAGCCAAGATCTGGAGACTAATGGTGCTCATTGTTATTAGCATGTTGCTGCTCCTCCAGGCTCTATCAGTTGAAAAGGTAGGTCTATATCTACACACATAGTTCAGTTTTAAAAACTTCAGAAGTTTTTGAAACTGAACTATAGATATAGCTATCTATATATCTATACTGATATATCTATATATTTATATCTGTATTCTTATCCATATTTCTATATATTTATAGCTATAACTACATATCTATCTATACGGAGAAGGAGCAAGATAAGTCTATAAACACATTGACATCTATATGTGTAATCTATCCATGTATTGAGAACTGTGAGATCTGTTCATATCAATACCTCCAATTCTAATCCAAAAACAAAGGGTTCGTTCTAGTGTTGTTGTTTTTTTTTTCCCCTTTTGAATATCTGCAATTCTCCTCCACAGAGAGAAAACCAGAATTCTATTATCACATATATTTCCTTAATTGATTCATAACCTGTGGTATCCAAGCTCCCATCCGTTCCCCTCCCTCCCCCATATGGATGCCCTCCTCACCCTTTTCAGCAGAGACCTGAGGCTGCCTGGCACCAGGCTGGGGCAGTGGACCTAAGGCTGCGCCCTCCCTCACCCTTCCCACCTAGGGGGTCTTGGCTGGGGACCTCAGGCTGCATCCCCCACCTAGCGTGGCTTATTGAAGTTGGGGTCGGCTAACTCTGGATCTCACCCAATGTGAGTGGGGCTGGCCAGGTCTGGGTCTTGCACAATTTCAAGGTGCACACAGGTGAGCATGGACTTGACTCTGGGTCCCACAGTACACCCCAGACTTTGACAGGAGGGAGATTTTAATATACATTTTACTAATTTTCTTTAATCTCTGACACTTCTATTATAGAGAAAGGGCAAATAGCAATATTAAAATATTTCCTCTAATTAATCCCCTTTATTGTGCACAAATTTTGTGCATCAGGCCATTAGTTAGTTAATAAAGTATTTACACCATTTAGATAAATCTGGCTGTTTCATTCCCTGACTTACTGTTGTCACAATAATAAATTCATAATTACTTTTTATACTAAATATGAGGTACAATATAATAAAATGTAATTCTTATCTGGAGTAACTGGCTTTATTCAAGCCAGAAAACAATTTACATTATTCAAAATTCTTTTCAAATTTAGAAGAAGGACTGTTAACCAAATACTTGAGTATTTGACTTTGGATGAAAACTTTCAGCACTTTAAATACTACAGAGGCTAAGATGGGATGTGAATTGCTGGCAGATGGTCTGAATCAGGCAGTGCTTGTGCTTCTTGGCATCATCCAACAACTGTTGGTGCCCGAAGTGTCAGCCTCCAGCTGCCCTTGGTGGAATGAGAACACAGTAGGATAGGAAGACCAAGGACAGAGGACATGACAAACAGGCCGAGGTTACTAGAAAGGACGATAGGAGAGTCTGAGGGAGAGAGGGAAGAGCTGGAAGGGAGGAGAGAAGAAGGAGGAGAAAAGCACTTGAAAGGACATGTGATATGGTTACCAAAAGATAAAATGGATGATCAGAGGAAATAAAGGAAATATAGAAAGAATGCTTAAGGAAACATAAGATATCTCATACACAACGATGTGAAAACATGGGGATATTTTATTGCTTTAATTTCAAATTTCTAAATTTCAAGGAAAAACTTTCTGAGCTGTGTGACCCATGGTCAAATCTGAGTAGAATGTGCATTGGTTTGTCCTCATGGCTGTCTCATAGCCCCCACTCACACTCAGAGAGCATCTTCTTGTGAAGCGAATATGGAAGTGAATTTTTGTATAACATTTTAATTTGTGGCTGCATTAACTTATATAAAAAAATAGGAAGTAAAACCTTAAATCACACTGTCTTGAGTTTATACAACATATTTAAAGATCTTTTATTGACATATCCCTTGGTTTTTACAATAATGCTCTGAGGTAGATAGGGGAAGGAGATCTGTAGTTTAATCCCCATTCTACAAAATCAAAATTAAAACAGAGTATTAAATCAGATACACACAAACTCTAGAGTATGGTGATTTGCCTTAGGGGTAATAAAGCTAGGCTAATTCCATACATTGTGACTCATGAAAATGTTTAAAGTTGTCCAAACTAGAACTAGGTTCAATTTGGCCAAATGAAATCACATTTCAGACTTAATCCCCTGAGTGCAAAGCTGTGAAGAGTATACTCTGGTTAGCCCTGTAGTTTCATTTTTCTTTATTTGACCATCTCCCTTTGTGCTGAAGATTAGCCCCTATTGTCTGTTGACTTAACTATTTTTGCTCATAAACTTTGGCTAAAAGAGTATTCATTCCCACTGTTGAATACAGTCAAGAGCTTTAAGGAAGAGCCTTCCTCTCCAATCTGGCCACCACACGGCAAGCCTAAAGGTATTTTAATATCCTGCAATCCTGGGTCTTTTTGTGACATCATACATTCAGTAGCCAATAAGTAAAGTGTGGCACAAAGCCTAGGTACTCTGGGGAGAAAGAGAAAGAGGCACAAAACACATTTCCTGCTTTTAGGGCAGTTCACCTGGCTCATAAAATTGTCTGTGCCTTCTCTTTAAAACTTGCTTTCCTGATTTCTAGGGCGTATTATTCCTCTGGTTCTCCTTCTTTACACTATTGTGTTACTTGCTCATTATGCTTTTAAATATTGAACTAAATAAACTCTAGAGTGTTTCAAATCTGTATTTCCTTCAGAAAAGAATGTGCTCATTTAGCCAATGATTTAATATTCCCCTGGCCATCACAACAGAATAAGCAAGACTTTCTAAGGTAAATTTGTTTTTACAAAACATTTAAAGTAAATTCTGTGGCTTTATAGCCCAACTTGAAGTGAAATCTTCCCCCCAAACAATGCAGTGCTGGCAAACTCCTCAGCAATCAGTGAGCTCAGAGCCAACGTGACGACAAGGGAGGAACAGGACGCTGAGTAGTAAATGTGATTAAAATACAAATAACAAAACATGTGGTTTTCTAGACTCGAAAAATTGGAAGGCAAAACAGTCAGCAAATGACGGTCTAATATACAAGGGGAAATGCCAAAAGTGGCCACTAAATTATGTGTTTTTCCGTAGCCATGCAGCTATCCTGGCATTTCGGTTTTTGTTTTCCAGATTTTTGTTCTTTATTGCCTGTAATTTGGCATGCGCTGCGGGCCTCTGGTGCTCCTCCAACATGGGACTGAAAAACTGCTGCAGCTGAAAGGAAAAAGAGATGGTCAGGGCAATCTGACTCTTCATTTAGACAAAACACGACAGTTCACTCTAAGTCGCAACATGATTTTGCAAATGGCCAAAGTGTGGGATGGGTGGCAATATTTGAAGACCACCCACCCTGAATTGTCAGATGTAGACTGGAAGCTCTATGATGTAGGAACCTCATCTGTTTTATTCACTGCTCTACTCCCCTAGCACCTAGTAGGTGCTCAATAAAGATTTACTGAATGCATACTGGATATTAGACAAAATTTGTGGGCAGAGATACAATGAGATCTTTTCTTATCTCAAAAGGTACTTTGCAACTTTCAAAGCTCAAAATTGGCATACAAAATCTGTGTCTTTACAGACATTAACCTTTATTTAAAAACTAGAGGCCTGGTGCATGAAAATTCATGCAAGAGTAGGTTTCCCTTCCCTCAGCTGCTGGCACTGGTTTTCCTCTGGCACCCGGGACCCAGGCTGCTTCCATCCTCCAGCCACCCGAAGGCACCTGAGACCCGGGCTGGCTTTCCTCAGGCCACCCACAGGCACCCAGGACCCAAGATGGCTTCCTTCTGGCCCCAGTTTGGTCAGGAAGAACGTCTGGTCTAATTAGCATATTATCCTTTTATTATTATAAATACTTAGATTTAGTGGATTTGTCCATTGGCTAAATTCCTTTATTGAGGCAAGTCAAGCATTCAGCTATAAGAACATATGCAATATTATGTACAAGCAAGACTCCAATTGACTACTTAGTTACGTACCTAGTCTATTTCTCCATCAACGAATTAGAACTCAGCACATGTGAGATGACAGTGTACCTGTGCTCACAAATGTCATTTAAACCATCATGCACTTAAAACCGAGTAGTAATAGGGTTATCAAGTCTAATTACAATGTAAAAGAAAAGGAACATTCTGGGAAAAGTAGATTAAGAAACCAGAACAGACCTTCCACCCTCTTCCACACTTGTCCATACCTACCAGGCAGTGGAATCCACCTTCCCATAGCCCCATATGATCATGCACCTGAAGTGAGTGGGAGGGTAGGGGGGGGGGGCTTCATGTGTGCTTGAGAGCATGAGTGAGGCCAAACTTCAAAGGGCAGTGTATAAGGAACAGAGCAAGAGAAACAGAGTATATAGAAACTATGCTGGTCTGGAAGGAGAAGGAACTCATGTGACTTTCTTTTCATCCTCTTTTTAGTAATTACTTTTTATATTATCACTAGTGGCCCGGTGCATGAAATTTGTGTATGTGGAGGTGGGGGGGGGGGGTTCCTTCAGCCCAGCCTGCACCTTCTCAAAATCTGGGACCACTAGCTCCAAACCACTCACCTGTCTGCCTGCCTGATTGCCGCTAACTGCCTCTGCCTGACTGCCTGATTGCTCCTAACCTCTCTGCCTGCCTACCTGATCACCCCTAAATGCCTCTGCCTGCCTGTTTGCCCCCAACGGCCCTCCCCTGACTGCCTGATCTCACCCTCAACTGCCTTAAAACTCCTCCTCAGTCCCCACCTTAGTTCTGCTTTCACAGTTCACCCAGGTTTGGTTCTGATTGGTCAGTTTCTATGCCAGTCAGAATCTCTGGGCCTATATCTGGGACTGATCAGAGAAGTGGGGCTGATCAGCAGCCCCTGTGAAGGTCAGGAGAGAGAGAGAGGCAAGGGCTGATCAACAACTGCCATGGAGGTTAAGATCAGACCCTGCCTCTTTCTCTCCAGGCCTCATCTGCCGCCGCCTCAGCCATCAGTGCCGGGTTTGCCATGCCCACACCAGCAGTAGTCAATGGTAGATTGCCACAGCAACCCAGCACTGACTTCATGACTGACTTCCAGTGTTTGGTCAAGCGTTTGGTCGTTATAGTCACTGCCTTGTTATATATATATAGACTATTGGGCATTAATAGTTTTTTGACAAGGATATTCATAACAGCTAACTTGTTTTCAAAATTGCAAAAATGCAATCACTATTAATTCCATTTTTACATTATTCCTATATATAAAAGCCTAATATGCAAATTGTCCCCTCAAGAATTTGACTGGGAGTTCGATTGCTTGCTATGATGTGCACTGACCACCAGGGGGAAGTGTTAAACAAAGGAAGGCCTCCACTGACAGCTGGGGAAGGGTGGCCCTGGCTGGCAGCCAGAGGAAGGCCCCAGCTGGCAGCCAAAATCCCCGATTGGCCCTGATCATTGGCCAAGCTTTGGAATCCTACCCCATGCAAGAATTCTGTGCACCAGGCCTCTAGTTTTAAATAAACTATCAGTGACTATAGAATTTTGGAACTTTGAAGACTGCTAAATTTATATATCCTTGATTCATTAAACAACAGGCCTGACCTGTATGGCTCCATTGGTTGGAGCATCATCCCCGACACCAAAATGTGACAGACAGGTTCCATCCCCAGTTTGGGCATGTGCACGGGACAACCTCTCTCTTTCTCTCTCTCTCTTTCTTTCTCTCTCTCTCTCTCTCTCTCTCTCCCCTCCCTTTTCTCTCTAAACATCAATAAAAATTAACAATGAAGAACAATAAAATTTTACTGGGTTTTGTAGAGATAAACCACAAAGATAAACTGATACACTTTAGAAGACTCAACACAATTCCAAGCCTTCTTTCCAGCATTTCTGGGTGTGCCCTTCACTCTCTGATCCAGGGAATCCCTGGTAAATCAGGACCCGACAGTTCAGCCTCAGGCAAGCCAAACTGAAACAAAGCTAATTCCTTCAGGAATTAGCAGTTCTTCCTCTCTCTCTTTATAGCAACTACATGCTTTTTGTTTTTATAGCAACTGACTGCTTTTTTTTTTTTTTTTCTTGTTCAGGATCAAATTTCAGACCTTATGTCCTAAACATTTATTTGTTTACTTGCTGGGGCAGGGAGTTGATTTTCCTTTCTTATGTACACAAGCCCTTCCTATTTTTATTAATATAGTTCCAGGCCACAGTTAATTTTTATTTATGTATTTTTGTATTTGTAATCAATTTTATTGAGATCAAATTTATGTACATAAACTTGAACGTATACAAGTTGAGTTTGGATCACTGTGTACACCTGTGAAACTGTAGCCACAACCAAGATTCATTTCCATGGCCCATAAACAGTTCTTCCTGTCCTTTACAGGCCATCCCTTTCTCTGTCCCAGGCAACCACTGATTCACCTTCTGTTACTACGGATCAGTTTGATTTCCTAAAAAGTCTCTGTTTTTTTTTTGTTTGTTTGTTTTTTGTTTGTTTGTTTGGTTTGGTTTTTTTTGCTCAGGACAATTATCTTGAAATTCTTCCATATTGACACACAAAATTGTTCCTTTTTTAATTTGTGGGGGTAGAATTCCATTGTGTGGATATATTACATGCTCCTTATCCATTCACCTACTGATGAACATTTGGGTGGTTTCCAGTTTTTAGTTAATGTGAATAGAGCTGCTACGAACATTCATGTACAAGTATTTGTGAGACATATGTTTCCATTTTTAAAAAATATATATATCTTATTGATTTTTTACAGAGAGGAAGGGAGAGGGATAAAGAGCTAGAAACATCGATGAGAGAGAAACATCAACCAGCTGCCTCCTGCACACCCCCCATCGGGGATGGCCCACAACCAATGCACATGACCTTGACCGGAATCGAACCTGGGACCTTCAGTTCGCAGACCGATACTCTATCCACTGAGCCAAACCAGTTTCAGTGAGGTTTCCATTTCTTTTGAGTAAAAACCTTAAAGTGGAATTGTTGGGCCACATGTATCTAACATTTAGAGATACTGTGTGTTTTCCAATGTAGTCTCCATGTCACATTCCACCAGTAGGGTAAGAGTTCCAGTTGTTTTACATCTTTGCCAATCTTTGGTATTGTCAGTCTTTCTCATTTTACCTATGCTTCTGGGTGTGTAGGGGTTGTATTTATATTTCACTTTTGTGTTACTTAATGTGTGTGTGTGTTGTTTTTTTGTAGGCATTAGCTTTTGCCCCTCAGTTCACCTTGTGGTTATGGGATTTCTCTTTTCTTTCCAGAACTATTCCTTCCCCATCTGTGTCTGTGGTTTGGGTTGGGGATGGTTCCAAATGTGGGCACATGACTTAGGTTAGGCCTATCAGAGCACTTCCTTCTCCCTGGACACAGTGAATGGTTCATGTGAGCCAAAAAGGACCAATCAGAATTCTGCCTTCAGGGCTGGAACTTGAAGCTGGGTGGAAAGGGATTCCTTTTTCTACAACTGAGGATGCTAAGGATCATGGAAGCCTGGACCTGTATTTGCCTCCATGTGAAGAAAGCCTGTCTAAGAAGAAATTCAGCCCAAAGGAAAGCAGACACTAGAAACAGCAAGCCCCACATTAGGTTCTATAATAGAATACAGTTATAATTAAGACAGGGTCTTCGTCCTCAGGGAGCTTATTTTACCCGCATGGAGTAGATGGCTGCACACACTGATTACAGTATAACGTGGTAAGCACTGTAATAAAGATATCGATGGGATGATTTTGGAGTATGGAGAGGGACAGGCATAAATCCATTCATAAAAATATTCCTGGAACAGGTGGTTGGAGCAGGGTCTTAAAGGATGATTAGAAATTATCCAGTCAAGGACAGGGTTCAGAACTCCAGAAAATGTAAAACCATCTGATAATTTCAGAAAACCTGGAAGTGATGAAGTTTAGCCAGAGGAAAAGTGTTTGGGGCGTCTGTCTTTTGCTTTCAGAGACTCAGTGGTGAGGTGGGCAAAAATGAAGCTAGAGGGTAAGGCAGGGTCTAGATTATTAAGGGATTCGTGTGTTAATGAAAATATTTTAAAATTTCCTAAAAACTGATAAACTACTGAAGCTTTGGGAACAGGGCAACAGCTGGTAGCAATGTGAAGAATGGATGGAGGCAAGCCCAGCCTGGCGAGGGAGCCTGGGCCAGAGACTACTGAGGTAAGGCAGGTGAGAAAGAATGATGTCCAACCCTCATGAGCAAGATAGAATTAAAACACATTTCATGTGCAGTTATGACACCACCACTGGAAACTCAGAATGTTATAATTCAGATAAGCATTTTAATTTTAGCAAATCTAAATGACACAAAAAGTGGCTTCTAACTTGTTATTATATCCATAATATCTAAAGTACTTACCTCCATGACCTGTGCATCTGTAGTTATGGTTCTCCCTATTAAATCCATTAGAGTATCCAATGACTGCATTCCATACCTGCAAAGCAACAAGATGTTAATCAGGGTTGGGAAATGTTTTGCAAGACAAAGCTATATCTTATTTGCCAGTAAAATGCTAAGTATATAGCTCCTTTTAATTTCTATCTAAAACATCTAAAAGAAAACATATATGAATTAGTTTACCTTCATCTTTTAATAGAAAATCTATTATATATATAAAAAAAAACCTAGCCCTGGCCAGGAGGTTGGTTAGAGTGTCATCCCAATATACCAATGTTGTGTGTTCATTCTCTGGTCAGGGCACATACAAGAAGCAACCAATGAATGCATAAATAAGTGGAACAAATTGATGTTTCTCTCTCTCTCTCTCTCTCTCTCTCTCTCTCTCTCTCTCTCTTTCTCTCTCTCTCTCTCTCTCTTTCTCTTTCTCTCTCCCTTCCTATCTCTTTAAAATCAATAAAAAAATATTCTATTAGCACTAAAAATATTTGTATTAAATACTGATTTGAATAATACATAGTTTTTAGTTCACTTAAATGTAAAGAACTCTTCTTAATAACAATAACACTGTCAACTGTTTTTATCTTTTTAAATGAGGTGGTGAGAATAGATGTCACATACCTCAAATTAAGAAAATTTGTAAGGGAGTAAATAAATATGCAAATTATGCCTCTTAAAAATAGTAGTGTCTTTTTTTTTTTTTAACTCTGATTAAAATACACTGAAAGCTCATTTAAAATTTTGCATTTGTATGTGTTTTTTGGGAAGACGATCCATATCATCTGAGATTCTCAAGGCTATTTACATTCCCTCAAACAAGCATGGTCACTGAAACTTCTTCCTTAGTTTAGTGCCCCTGATACCCAATGAGAATCATCTAAAAAAAAAAAAATAGCATGAAGTGTTGCTGTAAAGAAAGAGCAGATACATACCTGCCCAAAGTGGTGCTGTTGTTAAAAAAGTAAATAATAAAGATTTTTGGATGCATTAAAAAAGAAAGAAAATTAAGATAGGGTTAATATAGACAAAACAAGCAATGGTTGAACTGACTTGATAATTATACACACAATTCATTTCAAAAATGTATACTTGAAATTAATAATTGTAAGAGTTAATGTTGGCATACTACATAAACAAGGGAAAGAGAAAACAGTGCTTTTGTTCTTTTTAAGTCCCTAGCTATAGTGTAAACTGTGTTTACTTGAGCAGAGTAGAGGACAAGAGACAGTCTACATGTATAATAATTCAGACAAGCAAACTTGTTTCTGTGGGGAAAGTGGAGATATTTCTTATTCTTCATTTTTATTGACCAGGTATGAAAAGCCTGAGAGATGACTCAAGAAACTTGGCAAAATTTGCAAAGAAATCAAGTTTCAAGCTTTAAAAAAAAAAAGTAGAAAACGATATAGGGTGCTAAATGTGAGATTTGCTACCAGATCCAGAAGAAAGTTACCCTAACAGGCAGGGCTCAATTTGAAGTTAGCTTGGGCAATTCATAAATTGAGAAATGAGAAATACTGTATAGTTAGAAGCATTGTTCTGGAGACTAAATGAGATAATGTATGTGGTGGCATCTGTCAGAGTCCCTGGCACACATCATTTCTTCCTGGTCTTGCAAGCTTCATGTGGAGATATTTTTGAGACAGAAAGGATGTGTCACTCTTGTTGAAAGAGCAATCTCCTTGAAATATTAAACAAAAATACATACTTCACAAGTAGTTTATCTCCCCGTAGTCAAATGCATTATAATTAATATCAAGACAATAGCCAGTGGGTGTCAGCATAGTTACACTTTAAAAATATTGGTAACATCAATGCTAGTGTGGACACAGTGCTTTGGGTACTCTAGTCTGGCTTGCATTCTGTTTCTTTCCTTTCTCACATTTCCCCTTCTCTCCTCTCCCTTCCCCTGCCATTTCTGACTTCCTGTGGCAAGCATGGCCACTAGGCAAGCATGGGGCACCAAGGCATCCAGCCCAATCCAGCGGCAGGTGGTGGGAATGGGTCCACTCCAACCACATCTCAACTCACGCAGTTCCCTTGTGCTCCTACTTAACCTTTCCAACTCCGTGTTCCCCGTCATAAAATACAACAGAGTAGAAGTGAAAGTAAGTGCAGGTTTCAAGCTTAGGAATCTTGGCAATATAACAATATTTGGAGAAGAAATCAAGTGTTTGATAAGGAAAAGTGAAGATTCATTTTGGACCAGTTGAGTTTGAAACTGATTATACCTTATAGCCTATAGTCAAACAAAACTAGGGTTTTCCTCTTGGCTGTGAAATCACATTGTTTTAAGAAAGCTAAAAGCAACTTACCAAGGATTATAAGGGCACAAATATAACTTCTACCACATGCCATAAAAGATCACAAAAATCCTGTTGCTTCATCCCTATTAACACATTCCTCCATAGAATCTATCCACATCTACATGCACATATTGATGTTCCTGTAACGTGAAAGCTGTCTTTATGGTCGGTGGAGGTTCCTTCATTTAGATCAGTGCTCAAAGGATCATCTTGGTCCCACAGTTAAGTCATCACCCCTCAGAGACCAGTGCAGTGTCTGCACATGGGAGGGAGGGGTAGGACCAAGCTGAAGATGTTTTACTCAAGCAAATATTCCAAAATGTATTTTCAGATTGGGCCTCCTGAGAAGAATCCTAGGTGTGGTCGAGGGGAGCAGATGTTCCTGAACTGCTATTGGCAGTGTGCTCAATTCAGCCCCATGACCTCCCCTATCTCCCCCTTTCCAGAGTCCTGAGCTCCAGCCAGGGATGTGACTAGTTCCAAATCAGTCTTTTAGTTCTTCCATGTGGAAGGTGACTCTTTCCAAACATGCCTATTCAAATCTCCCTCAATTCCCTTTCTTCCCTTAGAATTCCCAAAGCCCTCTCCGTCTCCATCTCCACATTCTAATCACTTTATATCCCCAACAACAGCTGAAACTCTCTTATCATAGTAAAACCAAAACATCTTATTACTAGGAAGGACTTTAGAATTTATAAATACATGTCTGTCTTTCATTTTAGAGAAGAGGAAACTAAGGCCTAAATGTTCATAGACAAACAATAAATAGATGGTCCAGTTCCAAAATGAGAGGGTTAGAGAACTTATTTTTTTTTCTTTCCTTTGTATTGAATTTATTGGGGTGACCCTGGTAACAAAATTATACAGGTTTTAGGTGCACAATTCTGTAACACACCATCTGAACACTGTATTGTGTGCTCACCACTCGAAGTCAAATGGTAAGTTACTGTCTCATCTGTTTATCCTGATAGGACTGATCTACTAGCAAAAGGACACTGGTTCATATGAACATAGTGCACAGTAGGATTACAGATGAAAGGCAGACATTTCAGACCTAGCGTGAACATGGGGTGAATTTTTTATTATAAGCTCCAGGGAAAGAGTAGAGATGCAACCCTAGGAGGTGGGCATCTCTGAAACCTCATGGAACAAGGGACCTATGGACGTAATTCTGATTTATAGACTAATTCCCAGGGAGAAGTCGGACCTAGGAAAGAGGGCATTATCTTTAACAACTTAAACAAAAATGAAAACACCATTTATCCCAAAGGTCTTTAAGGATCCCAGGAAATGTAAGGAGTTGATAAGGCCCTCGGAAGCAATAAACCTAGAGTGATAAATAATCTAAAGCAGGAGATGAAGACAATTTTCGCAATATGGGAGTAGGCTATGTATATTCCACTAATGAGGCTGTAAATGGAACTGTACAAATGAGTTTTTATCTACACATTTTTTATTTCTAGTTTAAAACTACATTTTAGGTGTTGTGAGGGTGCTCAATAAATGTACAAACACACACACACAATCAAACAAACAAAAAATGCACCTCATTCCATTATTTTGCTCTTTAAAAGAACCATATTCACATTTTTATTCTAAAAATACATTTATACAATGTATCTTTCAACTTTACAGGTGTTTGTACCTGAACTGTTGGCTACTGTGAATCTGCTAACTCTATAGTATGTGATTATTAGCAATGTACGGTTAAGTAATGTCCTAGAAAAACCAGCCATCCAGGGCATGCTGTTTGATATTTGTATGTCCATGTGTATTTTACCCAATAGATGGGCTAGGAAGCAAGCATATTAACCTTAAATTATGAGAAATATTAAAAAGTTCAAGAATACGCCGAAACCGGTTTGGCTCAGTGGATAGAGCATCGGCCTCAGACTGAAAGGTCCCAGGTTCGATTCCAGTCAAGGGCATGTACCTTGGTTGCAGGCACATCCCCAGTAGGGGGTATGCAGGAGGCAACTGATCGATGTTTCTCTCTCATTGATGTTTCTAACTCTCTATCCCTCTCTCTTCCTCTCTGTAAAAAAAAAAAAAAAATATATATATATATATATATATATATATATATATATATATATGTGTGTGTGTGTGTGTGTGTGTGTGTGTGTGTGTGTGTATGTGTGTGTGTATGTGTGTGTGTGTGTGTGGAATAACAGATTAAAAAAAAAAGAATATGGAATCCTGAAATAAGAAATTAAGAATATACAACTCATGTAAAGACTGCTGTTTGAATTTTAAACCCTGCTAAGGCAATTTTCCTGTACCTGGGACCATAACCTTTGGAGATTAACCACTGAGTTCTGCTTCTGCAAGGTAGGGCCACATTCCAATGTCCAGCAGGATGTGACTGAAATGACCCTACGGCTGACCCCAGTTTTTAGAATATAGTCTTTAGGATTCAGAATTTAGAACAAAGGAAAATTCCTGTGGTTTGAACTGTTGCAGAGTTCCCGAGAGGTCGGATGGTGCAGGGGGAGAATTTGAAGAGACTTGCTTTGTTCATCGCGCGATGGGCTTAGGGAGGATGAGTTCAAGTTCTGGGCAAGGTTACAGGCAGAACTTTCTTTTTCATTAAAGAGCCAGCCCTATGTACACTTAGTGGTTATCTCGATGCTGGCCTCGAAAACAATACTATTCTGTCCAATTAAGAAAAATGCACCTGGCATGGTATTGAGATTGTGGGCATGTCTGGTCTCTGGCCTGCAAGGTCAGACAGCTAGGTTTGTCTTCATCGTTCTTCAAACGGGCTAAAGCAAACTAGTAAGCAACATTTTATCTAGGAAGAACAGCAGAAAATTCCAAACAGCAGTTTGTTGTAGAATGGGGGTTTTCCTTCTCAGAACCTTTAAAAATAACTAGCTGCCCCTAAAGCCTCGCGGTCGTGTAGGGTCCGCCCACCTGCGTGTGGTACCCTTGCAGCTGCCCTGGCCAGGTCAATAAATTCTTGTTTGCTTTTTTAAAAATAAATTATCAGCCTCCGGTGGTCTTATTTTGAACCCAGGGTTCGACCCCACAACAAATCCAGACTTATAAAAAGGAATCTGGCAAGTAAAACACACGAGCAACAACATCCTGGCTGATGTAATGATGAGCGTTGTTGTTTCATAAAGGTATGGTGATGTACTTTACAAAATAAACGAATGGCTGATGTACATGCATACCAAAAAACAAAACAAAACAAAACAAAACAAAAAAAACATGACTTGCTCTAATCTCGGTTTCAAACTTCTTAGCGGGCACAATAGGAAACTGTGGTATAAAACTATCCCATGCAAATTAATCTATATTCAGAAAGCCAAAACTGAAGATAAATTACCTTCTCTTCCATAACACGACCAGTTTAAAAAATCATTCCTTTTCTAGTCAGTGCAAAGGACTTTTGTGGTGATATATTAGACTGAATCTGTGCTTCTTGTACCAAACTCACGACCTAAAGGAAAGAGTGATTTCACATCTTTTCTCACCTTTCATTCACAGCTTGCCAATTGTTGACTAAAAAGTCTTTTGCAATGTATCGGCCAACATCAACTGCTGCCACAAATTCAATTATATTTGTTTCTTTAAAATTGAATGAATCTGTAGTGATGGCATATTCCATGTATCTGTAAAATTGCATTTGTGGAAAATAAATATGTAAAAATTACCCAATACAAGAAGTTAGTTTAAATGAATGGGGTCAAAATCATATATGATTCTAAGTTAATGATGCACAAATATTCGTTAATTGTTATCATAGCACAGTTACATTTTTCTCCCTTTGGCTCATTAATTGCATTCTTTCACCAGAAACTTTCAAGGTAAGTTGCCCATAATCACCTGGTAAGTATCCGTGGGTCTTTACTGCAGCTCATTGCAGAAGCAAGTTGAATCCTTTCTTCTTCGTTTGTGCTATTAGCGTAGATATTTAACAAAAAATCCCATTCTTTATCACTTCCCAAGGCAATGCCATAACATAAGATCTCAGTTTTAATTGGATTAGGTATTCTGTAAAGTATAACATGTGATGATATTTCTCATAGTAGTTGAGGGATAAGCATGTTATTTATGTTTATAGATTGTCATATATTTAGAACTCATTAGCTAGGGAAAAATGTTGAGATCTCAGGTATAAAGAGCAAACATAGGGCACCCAAAAGACAACTGTGGGAGCTGTCAGTAGTGTTGCCACGATGAGGTGAGACTGTCACCTTAGTTTAGAAAGGGGCTTAGGGGAGAAGTAAATTAGAGTAGTACTGATGGTAAGTATATGCTGATAGTAAGTTTGATTTCATATCTTACTATTATATCGGGTCTAGTAATAATTAATGTCGTTTTAAAACATTCGTTTAAAATCTTGCTTGGCGTTGACTTGTATTGACATAAACTTCAAACACGTGGTATCTACAGAACGTGTGAAGTGCAATTAATAAGTTTTGCTTGAAAAAGTTTGTGTTTGGTTTGGTTTTTGTTGCAAAACTAAGGCTAAGAAGATGGCGGATGAAGAGCATATTCGGCACTGCATGCTTTACGAGTTCCAATTAGAAAGAAAAGCAAGTGAGGCTGCAAAAAACATCTGTAGTACTCTTGGTCAAGATGCAGTTAGCGCCAGAAAATGCCAGCGTTGGTTTGAGAAATTTCTCGAGGGAAATTTTTCATTAGATGACAAGAGTGGTCAAGGCCGTGTGTCCAATTTCGATCAAGAAGCTCTTCAAGCTCTTTTGGTGCAAAATCCTCAAATTACCCAACAAGAGCTTGCGACAACTTTAAATTGTTCACAAAAAAACAATTTCCAATCAATTGCGTGCACTTGGCAAAGTCCAAAAGTTTGGAAAATGGGTTCCTCATGAGTTGACCGACAACAACCGTAATCAAAGAGTCACAATTTGCAGTTCGCTCCTCTCTCGTCAAAACCGTTTGCCGTTTTTAGAGCAAATGGTTACCGGAGATGAAAAATGGGTGCTGTATGTTAATTTGAAAAGGCGGCCTCAATGGTTGGACAAAAATGAGGCTCCGCAGCCCACGCCAAAACCTGACTTGCATGCGAAAAAAGTGATGTTGTGTGTTTGGTGGAATTTTAAAGGAATTCTTCATTATGAACTTTTACCATCTAACCAAACCATTACAAGTGCAGTGTATAGTGCCCAATTGGAAAGGTTAGCCCAAGCTTTAAGAGAAAAAGAACCCGCGCTGATTAATCGGAAGGGCATAATTCTTCACCACGATAACGCACGACCACATACTGCAAGAATCACTGCTGAAAAACTGCGCCAGTTGGAATGGGAAGTTCTCCCTCAACCTGCATATTATCATTTGTTTCGTTCTTTGCAAAACTTTCTTCTTGGAAAAAAATTTAATAATGAAGAATACCTCAAAAACGCATTGACCGAATTTTTTGCATCAAAATCACAAGAATTTTACAACAGAGGGATTAAAATGTTTCCTGAGCGTTGGGCACAAGTAGTAGAAAACAACGGCAACTATACTGTTGATTAAATTTTGTTGTATTGTTTAAATAAATTCGATTTAAAAAAGTATTAGAAAACGACATTAATTATTACTAGACCTAATATCTCCTAACAGTCCATCTGAGGTGATATATTAACAGAGTCTTAGCCTCAGCTCTCTGAGAGACTGCAAACAAATAAAAAAAAAGAGTTGCTCTGGTGTATGTATGAATATAATAAAGAACAACCTATGCTGAAACTGGTTTGCCTCAGTTGAATAGTGTTGGTCTGCGGACTGAAAGGTCCCAGATTCAATTCTGGTCAGGGTCATGTAAGTTGGTTGCAGGCACCTCCCCAGTAGGGGGTGTGCAAGAGGCAGCTGATCGATGTTTCTCTCTCATCGATGTTTCTAGCTCTCTATCTCTCTCCCTTTCTCTCTGTAAAAAAATCAATAAAATATATATATATTTTAAAAATTCCAGCCCTAACTGGTTTGGCTCAAAGAACAACCCAATAAGACTCTAAATAAGTGTAAGTGCTTATGGGGAATGCACTGGCAATGACAGGTTCTGGGTGACAATTACTGTATAAATTCTAACCTGTTGTTATGATCAGACCTACATTAGACAGTTGTTTTTAAAGAAAGATACTCTAATAAAATAGTAGGCAAGATTAATCAAGTGAAAACAAAACCATCATCTCCAGACTGAGAGCATCAAAAAGGTAGAAATATTGCTGGTGTTGAAACAGGACAAAGACCAGGGCAATTGCAATATTTATCTTACTCATTCTCTGGATTGTCCATCCAGTTTTTGAAGAGTTCTCTTGACAGCTGAAGACAATCCTCAAGGCCCAAGAAACACACACTCCCAATGAGTTCATTCAGCGATATTCTGGAAGGAAAAGTCAAAGAAAAACATTTTCTTTTGCATTACCACATTATATTTTTCTACCTCCAAGAATATGTTTCATAAAAAGATGGATATTTTAAAACATCCTTCCAATAACATCAAGTTTACTAAAAAAAAAAAAAAAAGCTTTTGGGATAACAAACGTGTTGAAGATTCAGAGAAATGTTTTCTGCGAGTCTGGTATTTTTTGAAAAGTTAGAAATAAATTACTGCCATCCTTTATCTCCCTCAATCACACACATGGTGTACACAGACTCCACATCTGTTATCAATCTACTTTTCCTCCCTTTTATAATAATTGCCTTGTGGATAAAAAATGACTTTAGAGTATTTGATGTAATACTCCCAGAAAGAAAGTTCTTTATACACGGAAAGGAACGGTTTATTTCTCTCTTTGAACCATGTGCTGTTCCTTGCTTAAGTTTCTATTTCTTCTTCAACTCCTCCTGACTATTATATATATGGCCAGAAAAAGGATAGAGGTTTTTTTTTTTATTTTTATTTATTTATTTTTTTATAGCTGAGAAGGGGTACACATTATGGTTCAAAACAAATAAGTTCAAAAGAATACAGTGAAGAACAATGATAAATCCAGATAATCAGTGTGTGGGGTGTATATCCCTATTCTCCCCAAGTTTGGAGTAAAAGGTAAAGGAATTCAAAGTGGCCATAAAGTTCCAGAAAATGCAAGAGCCAAATCTCTATTCCTCCCCCCTCTAGTTCCAACTCAGCTTGACCTGACTCTCTGATAAGGAATGTCCAAGGGTGGAGGCCTTCTGAAAGACAGCTCTGGGCACTCATTTATACAAACGCTGTCCCTCCCCTCCACCCCAAGCTGGCTGCAGCAAGGTTGTTCCAAAGGTCTTGAGATGCTACACACACACACACACACACACACACACACACACACACACTCATCACTTCAGTCCAATTAACTAGTCCAAGGTTATGGCTAGTCAACAGATGTGCTGCCTGCGTTTTTGAGCATACTTTTGCCTTCCTGTTTATTCACATATGCCTACACATTCACTATCCCAACTAGTCCTCTCCATCTTCAATCTATTTGTCCATTTAACCCTATGTCCTTCTAGTCATAGGTCCTAGCACTAAAATTTTTTCCTCTCTCAGAGGGAAACTCATGAGAGATAATAATCACATGTTGTATGCTTTGAATTTCTTGGTCTAATTGATTTAGACTTGATTTGACTAGTGCTATAAATATAATCCCTGTACCATAGCTGATTACAAACTCCCTCCCTAAATCTGGAAGCCTAGCATACATACATGGAATACACCTTGGATCACAGGGAGGCTGGCGACAGCAGATATTTTACCTTTCATCCCCTTCCTGGATCATTATGACAACGTGCTTACTTCTCTCACCAAATCAATGATGTGAAAATCATTTCTAACACGTATAAACATACACAATGACTGATATATTTCACTGTCAACCTCTCATAAAATGTGTACAGTGATAGAATTTCTGTTGCCAATCATATACAGAGGGGACCCTTTCCCATGCCCTTTAATTCACTGGGATAGGCTGACTTTGCTTAGCATACAGCCCTTCACCATCAGTATGACATACTTATAATTTCAACTGGTAGCCTAAGATTTGAGAATACAGAGCTATAAACTCCTGTGTAAAATATCACATGATGTCCCTTATTTTTGGAATCTAATGAACAAAATAAATTGACCAACAAAATAAGACCCGAAGCATGGAGGCATAGAACAGACTAACATACCTCAATGCAGATTTAGGAGAATGAGAAGAGGTAAACCAAAGACTTACATACTTATATGCATAGCCATGGACACAGGTAATGAGGTACCTGGGGGGGGGGTAGGTGCTTTATATAAGTATGTAAGTCTTATATAAGGAAGGGGCTAAAGGGGGGATGGTATATATCTGTAATAATATCAACAATAAAATATATATATATATTTTTTTTTAAATTTCTGAGTATACCGATATGTGCTTTGTGGGTAAATTAAGATCCCAAACTATTATTTCGTATTAAGATACATGTACCGTAGCTCATCAATCTCAGAGCTACTGCCCTAAAATAGTATGTAAACATCTCTCAGTGAATCATAAATATTCAGATCTTATTATATAAATATGGAAGCCTATGTATTAATATGAATATTTTAATGCAATTATTACTATTCAAAAATACTTACAAAGCCAAATAGTCATCTCGCAATGCTGCCACATTTTCACGAATTATAGTTGAATAATGATTCCATATTGAGGTAAGTCTCTTTAATAGATACTTCTATAAACAATAAAAAATATATACTATTAGTCTGGCTCACAACACTTAATTTGCATTGTATTTCTCTTTATCTGAAAAGACATTAATATGACATATATGTCTTCAGAAATAATTTTTATGTTAGTAATGTGTAACTGGTTTATTTTTTAGCTTCTATAGGTTGTTTTCTCATACAAAATGGGGTTTAAAATAACACCATTATTATAGTTTTATGAAGACTGAACCATATAATGTATGTAATCATACTGCTTGGTAAATAAATCAATAAACATGAACTATTATTGTACTTAATATACCCTACTAATTTCTGTTTATCATAAAAAATGAAAAAGTATAAAATTTTTTAAAAATTTAGTTTATTTTTTACAGAGAGGAAGGGAGAGAGGTAAAAAGTTAGAAACATTGATCAGCTGCCTCCTGCACACCCCCTACTGGGGATGTGCCCACAACCAAGGTACATGCCCTTAACCGGAATCGAACCTGGGACCTTTCAGTCAGCAGGCCGACGCTCTATCCACTGAACCAAACCGGTTTTGGTGAAAAAAGTATAAAATTTAAAACTTAAACTTTTTATCTTAAAAATTCCATGTTTAATAAATAAATCTCCAAGAAAATAAGAACTGATTTATGTCTCAAACAAATTTAAGCCTTAAGTCTGAAATAAAGTTTCTTCAATTGAGCTCTCAGCTGGTAAATAATAAGATTAAAAAAGTTATACATTTTCAATACATTCCTGTGTTGAAATACTAAATTTATTCATTGAAATTCTTTAAAAACAAATATTAGTTTTTATTTATTTATGCAAACCCAGTCATCAGAAATAATCAATGAGCCGCCTTGATCCTACAAACATTAAAGTGCCTTCTGTTGGTCACAATCCCACATTCCAGTAAGTTTCCATCAGCACTTTGGAGAGTAGACACAAGCAAGTATGGAATCCTGAGGTAGTTGTGATTTCAGCCTCCATCGGGCTCAGTAACTCACTTAGAATCATCACCTAACTTACTTTCTAGTTTGTGTGTGGCCCTTAATTCTCCAAAGGTTTGCTCCCTAACTTTGGCTTTGATTCTACCTGTGCTGTCTTTCTTATGATCAATGTTTAAAACCCAATGAAGGAACTTTTCTCCTTTTATATTGTTTCAGTTATGATGGTATGTTATGTCTTTACTCATTAAGTCTAATTTCCCTCACTCTCTTCACAACATCAAGAGCAGCTTTGAATCATTACTTTTTCTAGAAATTACCTCTCTGGTTTTAAGTGCTGGCCCTGTAAATAAAAGCATTTCAATTTTGCATATAGGGTTGTTAAGTCATTCTATTTGATTAACAATCTTTTCTGTAAGCAAAAAGGCATACCATATCTATCCACTTCCGGTTTCTTAGGACACATTGCCACTTCCATGAATTAAATACCTTTCCAAACTTCTATCATACTCATCTCTGAGTCCAGGTTTATGACAAAGATATTTTCTTTTAAGAATAATCAATCATTCCTTGAAAAAATGACTATGTATATACTTTTGAAAAGGCCTGTTTCACAGATGCTCTTTAGAATATAGAATAAGGAAGAATGGATTCTTTTAAATCACAAAACAAAGAATGACATTACCTTTAATAATGTGTATGTATCATAGTAGTTGCCCACATCAGAAACAAAATTGCTGGGTAGCAGGTTCACCAAGACTGTATGCCATACTATGATTTCATCTTCTTCAGCAAGGTACTTGGTTAAATCAAGTGCTGTTTCAATCTCAATATAATTGTTTCTGTTTGGTTTAAAAACACACACTAAAAAACCTTCACTTGCTAAAAATGATCTGCACACTTTCTATATTTGTTCCATGCTTCAGTGCCTGACTTTATAAAGTATGTGAAATCAAGAAGCTAGAGGGCAAAGGTCCCATCTCATAGATAGTATGGGAATCAAGCAATGCTGCCAACCCTCCATTTTAGTTTGGTATGTGCACCCAATTCCTGGAGATTATAGAAAATCCAGGCCCAACACTGGCCTAATTATCAGGCAAAAGAATATTTGTGCACTTAGTATGCATTCTTATGAGAGTAGAGTTTCCATTAAACAGTTATTAATTAAAAGTCATTCTCTCTCTAATGTTCTTCCAGCACAAACTAGAATATAGGACAATACTCCTTCCTACTATTGGGGATCTTACTACTTCAGTGAGTAGCTGAGATTTATGCTTAAGTAGCTGTTAACAAAAGGTCCTAAGAAAGGCAATGAATGCAATAAAGTAGCAAAGAAGGTAACATGCATGTGATAGAAAAGTCAGTGAAGGCCTCCTGGTGGAGGAATTTGAGAAGAACAATGAAAGATGGGTGGAACTGAAATGGGTAGTAAAAAAAAAAAAAAAAGGAAAATAGTTTAGGACGAAGAAGATTAGTGGGAATTAATGTGATGGGCGAACCAAGCTAACCGAAGCAGAAAATTTCCTTTGTGTATAGTTGAGAGGTGGGGCCTAATAGGAAAGGCGGATCAAAACTGTGAAGAGCCATGAATGTCAGGATGTAGAATTTACATGTGGTGGGAAGATGTTTAGACACCTGGGTACCATCATGAAAGTGATACCTAAAAATCCTATATAATAAGAGAGGCAGCAAACTACAAGCAGGCGGCAGAGAACTACAGCAAGCAAGCAGGAGGTGGAGAGCTACAGGAGGGGGCAGGGCAGCCAGCTATGAGGGAAGGGGAGCTACAGGAAGCTATGGCAGTGGGCAGAGAAGCCAGAATGGAATTTAAAGGAACGAAAGGCTAGAAGCCAATGCAATAGGTTAAGCAAAATACAATGAAAGCTTGGCTTAGTATGGAAGCAGTGAAGGTAGTAAGTAAGGTAAGAATCCAAAAGACTTTTCCAAGAATGAATAGATAAGATATGGTGACTATTTGGGAAAAGTGGAGGAGTTCAGGATATCTCTTATGTTGCAAGTTTGGGTGATGGGAAGGATAGTGGTACCTTGACAGAGAGAAAAAATGATAGCAAGAGCAGTTTAGAGACAAATGAAGTTCAGTGTCTCAAGTGCTGAATTTAAATGATCACAGGATAAATAGAAGACAGGAAGAGACAAGCAGAGATGTAGGCTTAGAAGTCATCAACATATATTCCACAAACATTTATTGAGTACCTTATATCTTCTAGGCACTGTACATGTACATAATAAAATCACTGAAATTTTAAAAACGCATGCATTATTCAAAGGAAAGATAGAAAAAAAATAACATAACCATCGCTGGTCTTAGGATGCTCACAGCAGCAAGAAGAAAAGCCAGGTACATGAGGAGGACTATGTTTGCATATCGAGGTCTCAGGAAGCCAGTAAAGAAGTTTCCAGGAGGATGTGGTCAATAGTCCCAAAGTCAGGGTAATCTCAGAGCCGAGTTTCAACAAAGTAGTGAGCAAGGAAGTATGCTGCAGGTTACAGAGGGGAAAAGCAGTAAAGAAATAAAGAGAAAATAAGCAGACATTCATTCAAGAAATAGGACAAGCCAAAGAGAGAGTGAGCACACTAGGTAATTTATTATGTACACTCCTTACTTTTATTGTCTGAACATGTAAATTCGGAACATATATTAATTTGCCTGGTCAAATACTTACCAGCTGCTTTTATATATGTGTCACATTTTATTTATATCATAATGAATAAGGGTGATATAAATAAAGTCAATTATTTTGCAATATGTTAAAATACATGCCATATCTCATTAAAATTATACCTACAGCCATCATCATCAGGTATCATAAATCACTTCAAAATTTTAATACATAGTCTATTTCCAGCAACTCGTTTTTTAGATGTCAGCTACTTTTTTAGATTTCAACATTCAATATCATAGAAAAATATGAACACAATCTTCCTAAATTTATACATTTTAACATTTACTAGACTTTATAAAAGTAAGCTTGAATCAGTTGTAATTTACCTAAATTTTTATTCCTGATGCTTTTAAAATAATGGTTCTTACACTTTTTATAATCCTATCTAATAAAAGAGTAATATTCAAATTGACAGTCACTGCAACACACAAGATGGCTGCCCCCATTTGGTCAAAGATGGCAGCCCCCCTGTAGATACAAGATGGCTGCCACAAGATGGTTGGCAGGGAAGGGCAGTTGGGCGCATCCAGGCCTGCAGGACAAGGCTTGGAGGGGAGGGCAGTTGGGGGTGACCAGGCTGGCAAGAGAGGGCAATTAGGGGCAATCGAGCTGGCAGGGGAGCAGTTAGGCATTGATCAGGCTAGCAGCAGAGTGGTTAGGGGGTGATCAACCTAGCAGGCAGAAGTGGTTAGGGGCAATCAGGTAGGCAGGCGAGTGGTTGGGAGCCAGCAGTCCTGGATTGTGAGAGGGGTCTCAGATTGGAAAGGGTGCAGGCTGGGCCGAGGGACACCTCCCTCGTCATGCATGAATTTCATGCACCAGCCTCTCGCAATCCTATAAATATTTAAATACTATTATCTTTTTTCTCTTTATATCATTTCTATTCCATCCTTTTCAAACTTTTCTTTTAAGGTGTTTCTTTAAAAACATTGAGTTATCTTTTCTATTCTTTTAAAACCCTTTAAAAATTCTCCATAATTAGTTTAAATCTTATTATACCAAAGTTAATTTAATTGCAAATATCTAGGACTTTGATTATAATTGAATGTGAAGGTTTGACTTGAGAAGAACATATTCTTCCTCTCAAAACATGGTTGTTATTTATGGTTTTCTAATTGTAATAGACATTATTGCTTTTTCTTTATAGGACTTTTTCTTTTTCTTTTTTATTGTGGGAAAATACACATAAAATTTGTCATTGTACAGTTCAGCAGTATTAAATACATTCATAATGTTGTGCAAACATCACCACCATCTGTCTTGTTAACTCTTTTCATTTGTAAAACTGAAACTCTGTACCCATTAAATAATATCTCTCCTTTTCACCTTTCCCCCAGCCCCTGGCAACCACCATTTTGCTTTAAGTTTTTATGATTTTGATTACTCTAAGTACCTCATGTAGAGTGGAATGTTACAGTACTTTTCTTTTTGTGACTGGCTTATTTCACTTAGCATAGTGCCCTCAAGTTTCATCCATGTTGCTGCACATCCTAGGAACTTTTATGTAATAAAATGCTACTATCACTACAGAATTTGATCCTGATCTTGAGAAGTTATGGCCTGGATATGCTAAAGAACCAGTTTCATAGTGAGAAGTTCTTAATGATAAATTCTCAAGGTGAACTCTAAAACCATGTGAGAAGAAAATATACTCACCGAGACAAGGAAAATGCATCATCAATCAACTGCATTCTGTGAACAACAGGAATAGCCTGCAAATTAAATCCCAATATGTACAGAAAAAGATGAGTTTTTTTATTAAATGAAATAACTTGAAAAGAATAACATTTAAAGATCATTGCTAATTACAAAGTACTTTTACATGACTTTTTCATGTACAGAGAAATGATAAATATGAAGGGTAGTCCCCATAATTTATATATTATACATCTGTTTTTGATAAATAATCCCTCTGGGCATGAATCATCAGGCTTAAATAAGGCAGAGAATTATGCCAAGATTCTCCCTGAAAACAGCATGTTAGAAAATAAAAACAGGAAGCCAAGTTTAAAAAGCTTCTCCAAAACAGAAAGCATACATTAAATTGTATGACAATGTCCAAATTATTGACAGAGGAATTTTTTGGCATGGGGGGGGGGGGCTTAAATAACTCTTATTTAGCACTATTTTGGTAACACTGAGGTACTCTTTTAAATGATATCTCTCTTCTCAGGAATTTCCTGCATTGACACAATACCACCAATAGGGCCTGTTGAGTCACGGAAAGACAGGAATCAATCGCTAGCCTAACTCCTGAGGCTCCTGTTTGAGCTCTTTGGCATGGCCAGGCCCCAGGACTCTGTCTCAGCTGTAGCGTCCTAAGGATGCCCAACGCCTCCCACAGTATTCCTTCAATAGCTCCAGCCTTTTCATATATTTGGTACTAGAAAAGTTATCTTCACCTACATTGGAGCAAACCAAGCTTAATTCTTTTCTTGGGAGTAGTCTCTTTTTCCTTCTGGTGATAATAACATATTTTCTAGATTAATATTAATAACTGATTTTTTTTATTTGCTCACCAATTATGTTGTAGGAATAATTAACCTCCATCTTTAAATAAGTAAATCTGCAGTGGTTTCTAGATCATTGCTATAATAACACGACCTAAAGCTTCCATAGCCAAGAGTGCCCTTAGAAATTAACAAGAATTTAGCTACTCAGAGAGAGATTTTTAAAATGTCATTGTAAGTCATTTTTGTAGCTTTATACAAAAGCATAATAATTTTTAAAAGTTACTGAACGCGTTCTGAATGCCTGAATTGTGTCAGGCCTGTGTTAGACATAACACATGCCTCACTTTACGGGCAGTCCTCGGGTTACGTCGGACCCGACGTGCGTTGTTTTGTGGTTACGTCACCATCTCCCATTTATTTATAAAAACAAAAACAAAAGTTCCATCATTTCAACGTACATACATATGTGCTTTATGTTTTTTATTATTTATTTACCACAAGTAAAGGTCAGGAATTGTTATCTTTCTTTTAAATTTTTTTACTGTGTCACTTCATTACTGCTGTGTGTGCTCCAGGTGAGTGATGTAGGTGCTTATGTAGGTGGGTTCCGACTTAGGGCGAAATCGCATGACATCGCGCCGTAGGAACGGATCTCCGATGTAAACCCAGGACCTACTATATTTAATCTTTGCAACAACCTTTTATGGTTGGCCTATTACACCCATTATTATACAGTAAAGAAAACTGAGGCATGATTGGCCATGTAAGAGGCCTAAGGCCACACACCTGGCAAACGATGAACATAAGCACAAATCTACCTGACCGAAAATCCAAAATCTGGACCCATGTTCTTTATATCGTCTTCTGGTGGAGAAGTTCCTGCATGTGTCTCAGAGAATTTCCAGAGTGAGGCACCTAAGATTTCTTTTAGTTCAACACTCTAGTTTTACAAATGTCATCTTAATGAAGAGCCCAAGATTTCACAGCTGAGCCAATTCTATAGACTTGTAAGCCAGCATCTATCTCCACCAATGGAGATTTGGTTTAATTCAACCAATAAAAATCTTACTGATTATAGCTAGCCAACACTTTAATATTTACATATTGTATAATGATTTATAATTATTTCACAATTTAAAGTGATATTGGATGATTATTGATATTTGTGGATTAAATTCTCCCCTCTGAGGGAGAGGGAGAACAAAATTTTTACAAAAATTAACATTTTCTAGCATATACTGCATATCTATTATGGGCTTAGAAATTTGAAGTATATGTTTACCTACATTGTCTCTAATCCTAATGATAAATAAGTAATATATAAGATTATTTCCATTTAAAATAAGAAATGAAAGCAGAACATTTAAGTAACTTGCCTAACATCACAAAACTAATGGTTAATAGGAAAATGTATTCTTATTTTTACCTAGAAAGGTAAAATTGTTGTGGGAAAATGAGATTAATGTTCAAAAATACAAAACATTCAACCAAAATCTCCCCCTTCTAAAGATAAGTAATGATGGGAAGGTCTCTTCTTATTACACAGACATATGAAAGCTCAACTCTGAAAGGCTAGAGAATGTAATACTAAGGATACTTAACAAAGGTATAAAAATAATCTTACCTTATGATCGTTTTCAAGCTGTTGAAATAATTTCTCCCAACCTAACTTATCATAGTTAACTCTGTAATATCCAGTCATATTCAAATTTAAAATCACCCAGTCATGATCAGAATTTGAAACTTGCATTTCAGGGAATAATTCTACAAAGAAATATGTGAAATGTTTGACATGGTACATTTGAAAAATATTTCAATATATGTTTATACTATGTTCTCTTAATTCTAAACAATAAAGTCAATGAAACAAAAATGAAAGGAATTCTAATATATATATATATATATATATATATATATCTTACCATATATATTTTTTCACATTAATAGCTTTTGATTTGAAACTTTTCTTTAAATCTCTATGTTCAACAAGAATGATATCATAGTTTAGTTTTAAACAGGATAGCTTTTCAAAAGCTAAATATTTCAACTTTTTATCCTTTGCCTTTGTATTATATATATTCATGTAAATATGTGAAGATATTTTAAAAATTTGTTACTTACTGCTGCTTTTATCTAGCCAGACTAAAGATTGTGTAGCTCCATTTTTCATCCAAAGAATAGGTACAATCCATGTGTCACTTAGAAAAAAAATATTTAAATTCAGTTAGTTTTCACACATAAGAATTTAAGCACTGAGCCAATGTTAAATGAGATGATAAAATGACAGACAGAAATTGGTCATTCCCCCTGGATATGTAGGACTTGACTTTTTATTATTCACTGTTGATTTTACAAGCCAGTTTTGCTTTAGCTGTTTGGTTAATCTCTCTTGTTGTATCTTATAGATTGACTTCTTATAACTTAAGGTAACTTCTAGGACTATCTTGTATCTGAAACTTTAAAGGCCTATTTATAATAAATTATAGCCACCTGGCCTGTTCAGAGGTTGTTCAAAAGCTGCAGACAGACCCAAATCCATCCTTGCCAAGAGAGGTAAAGAGTAATTTAAGAAGAAAAAAAACTTGGCAAATATTTCAAAATACTTTTCTGCATCAAGCTTTCTTCCCATCTGAAAAATGTTCAACATGGTCCTAGCTGGTTTGGCTCAGTGGATAGAACATTGGTCTGTGAATTGAAAGGTTCCGAGTTCAATTTCCATCAAGGGCACATGCCTGGGTTTTAGGCTCAATCCCCAATAGGGGGCGTGCAGGAGGTAGCTAATCAATGATTCTCTCATATCATTGATGTTTCCATCTCTTTCTCCTTCTCCTTTCCTCTCTGAAATTAATTTTTAAAAATGAAAAATGTTTAGCATGACTCAACCAGATTATTCATAGTTCCTGAATGCCGACATTCTTTCTGTGTTGGTGGACATGACCTGAATAAAGTAGCTGACCCCAAGGAGGACATTAGTCATCTGAAGGGACATGTTACTTGGAATTTGGACAATATTTTTCAATCTTGCTTAAATACTCACAAGTCTGGGTTCTCAAAGGAATTAAACTGAGGGTTTCTGTTTTATCTGATGACTAAGGCATAACTCTTCTCAAAAGACACAGAGTATCACAGTGAGAAGAGATCTTTAGGTCTCTTGTTCTTTAGGTTTCTTGTTTTGTTTTGTTTTTAAACCCTTGGGGTTTTTAAAAAAAAAAGTAGGAGAACCTGAAAATTTTGGTAGTGGTATTTGAAAATTAATTACTCATTTGTGGCAATACTACAATTTTCAACTGTTTTTAAATTTTTAAAAAAAAAAAAACAAACAGTTGAATATTAACAAATTAAGAAATAGAAGGGAAGAGAGGGAAAGAAAGGGAAAGGAAAGTGATGAATATTAAGCCACTTTATACTCATTATTTCATTTTTAAAACAATCTACTGGGATACCTGTTATTATGTTTACTTTATAGATAAGTCAATTAAACTCAGAGATTTTAAATAAGACTTACCTAGAATTTGAAGTTTGTTGGAATTCCTATTTGAACCCAGGTCTAACAGTATTGAAAGCCCATAATTCTAATGATATAGGTATGTGTACAAATACACATATACATGCATGTGTGGACATGCACAAAACAAGTCCTCAGATATAGTTACCATTCACTACTGTTTCTAGAGAAAAGAAGATGACCTTGCAACACAATATCCTTTTATCTTAACTAGCATGAGGTCATCTATGGCCCTAGTGTATTGCCTGTCCCCCAGAATCCTGAGTAATTCGTTATTTCTGTCTGAAGGACAAAAAAGAATTATGTAACACCCAAAGTTTTTATCGATGTTGTTGAGGAGGGGCACTGCCTTAAAACCTTAAAAGCAGGTCACTGGCCTGGCTCAGGACATCAGGGGCTTTCCCTCATTCTAGCACCCCAGGGACGTCTTACATGGAGTCCTAAGTCACCATCCCAGAGTCACTCTATAAAATGGTGTAGCCAGCAGGGGTTATGGTTTCCATTTGATTAGAACTCAACCCCAAGGAAGGTAACGACAGAGGAGCAAATCTACCTACTTGTGGGTGAGAAGAGTCTGATTTTTAACCTTTCCAAGATGAAATGGTTCCTGTTTCATGACGCCAGAAGATACATTTAAGGTGATAACTGGAAAACCACTCTGGTAGGTCCAACTGTCCATTATACTTTTTACTGTTGCTGGCAAAACAATTTTACTCTGGTCATCTATGGCCTGTATTAAAAAAGTCATCAGAAAAGCAGATATTTATCTTCAAAATCTTTTGAGGTAGCAATCTCCTAAAAGAAAAACATAGCTCTTCTATATAGTAATTACCAGTGGGTGATACACAGGCCCAAATTCAGAACTCCCTTCAACTCTATACCTGAATGGCTCCTTAATTCATTCATTCATTCACTCACTAAACATACATTTTTAGTTCTAATATGTGCAGGCTCTGTTCTGGGCACTGGAAATACAATGGTAGAGACTAAAGAAACAGCCCAAATTAAGGGAGTTTCACAAACAAGGTAAAACTGTTTTCCTGTGGCACTGCCATAGAAGCACGGCCGCCCCATCTTGCTGAACTCTATTATACAGAACAACTTGGCAAAAACAATTCAGGAATTAGGCCAATACCATTTGAAAATGCCTCCAGAGATCATCTTGCTTAGCATTTGAGTACGAAAATGTCTCCAAATATGACTGTAAAAATAGAAAAGTTAAGGTTAGCATAAATCACATCCCAAAGCAATTTATGTTTATTGCCTTCCAGGTAACATTTTGTAAACTCACCTTAAGGGCGCTGATAAATAAATTCTCAGTCAGGAAATTAGAAAGCATCCGGACCAAAGACGCTCCCTAAGATATAAGAAGTTGTCCATGATTTGAACAAAACTCAATACCTAAATACTGACATATTACATTTCAACAAGTATTATGCTGGACTGTGCTCCTGAATGCATAGTGCACTTTAATTGAATGTTTCAGTTATTCTAAATTATTTTAATAAAATAGTAGACTGTCACTAATTAATAGGTACAAGGTGAACTAATGCCCTACATATAAAGAGTTCAGGGTACACAAAATGTTTTAAATTATAATAACATATGGCAAAAATAAATTTGTACCAAATAGACGGGTTTACCTTAAAAGTAGCAAGTGTCTAAGTCTATTCATAATGGTAGATGATATTGAGCACCTAAGATATGCTTGATTAATACTTACTCGATAATTTAACCACATTTTCTGAAACATATCTACTGAATAAAATTAGGATTATTTGTATTAAAAGTTTTATAATAGCATATTAGCTTATGATCCTTGGAATCCATTTTATGCAACTTTCTGCAAGAGTTCAGAACAAAGGGAAATATATGACTGATTTTACCTTATTGTAAGTAAATATGTCAAAGAGCTCATTTATTTCATTAATTTCTGTGAAATTTTCCACTTTCATGGATACAGCTCGAGGCACCATGGAGTGATCTTTTCTGAGAACATCATGTAAAACGTTAGAAAAAAATACTTCATTCTAAAAGGAAACGATTGAGCCACATTAAGTTCTGAGGTGTCACAGAAACACAAAATTCAATGTTCTCAAAATACTTTAAAAAAAACTGATGTTGAAGAAGGAGGAAAACAACAATTAAGAAGTGCTCTGTGAACTACAATATGCCAAATAAGCAAGGATTCCATACTACCTAATAATAGACAAACTGTAAATTGACTATACCTCTGCTATGCCACCAGCCAATCAGGAGTGGCATGCAAATTAACTCAACAAAGATGACAGTTAATTTGCATACGCAGGCACTGAGTGACTGGAGCAGGACACTTGTATCATCACCATAGCGATGATACAGGCATTCTGCCCCGCCCCACCCCTGGTCTCTCAGCGCCTCTGGGCAGCGTGGGAAGGCAGGGCCAGAGTAGAAAGAGGTGGCTCCAGGACAGAAAGAGGCTGAGCCGGAGTGGAAAGGCAGTGCAAGCAGCCAGGGAAAGGAAAGTTCATTCTAGCATGAATCTTCGTGCATCAGGCTCCTAGTGAGTAATAAAATTCTAGGATACTTTCCTTCCCATTTGTTGTCTTTCTTTATTTCAATTCTTAAAAAAATCAATTACAAGAGCTCCATATACATTTTTCCTAAGGAGATCACTGGAAGGTGGGGTTGGGGGGAGAAAATAGTATCTTTTGGTGGTTTTAATTGTCTATAATTTTATAGAGAATTATTAAAATATAATATTAATCTAATCAATAATAGCAAACCCTTAAGATTGATCAGTATCTCTTTCATGGACATTCATAAACCAAAAGCATGCCATATTTATAAATTTACAAGAATGCTGATATAATAATCTGTAATTGGAAATAAATCAACAGATTGGATATAACAGTTTATATATAACTCACATGTTAGAAGAAGGCACTTGTTATATTTTAATAAGAAGTACAGAACTCATATGTACACATATAATAGCTTAATAAAAGAAAAAAAAGAAGTACAGAACTCTATACTGGTAAAAGACTAAATCTCTCTGACCCATGACAAGGGCCATTTCTTTCTGAAGAAAAGCTGAAAGGATAACCGAAGTATAGCCAAGAGATGCATGGGATGGACAAGCCAAAGAAGAAACAGTGGAAAAGTTGCAGGAATAGCATATCCTGGAGAGCCCCTGATAATCTACATGAAGCCTCTTTTGGGGGTCCCCATGTTGACTCTCTCACCCATGGACAGTGTTAGAAACTTTCAAATTCTGTCCCACTTCCATTAGCCTATGTTCCAATCATCATCCTATTAGCACAGTATTTTTAGATTCATTAACAGCATTGATTAGGTTTTTATCAAACTCTGAGAAAGCCTGTCATTTAGGGCAAAGCATGCCAATAATGACAATCTTCAATGTCAATAAAGGTCACTTGGGGATTTTGTCAAATTCATATTTTAATTCAGTTGGTCTGGGGTGGAGCCTATACTTTAACCAGATGACCTGACTTTGCTAATATGAGAATCACACTTTTAGTCACAAAAATTTAGGGGAGACATCTACATAAGTCTCTTCTTATTCATTAAGTATAGGTTTCATTAATTTAACACTCAAGAGTTCTGCGTCTGCATATGGTTCTCTGATTTTCCTTCTCAATTTTAATCTAATTACTAAAAGTCCATGATCTCTCAAAGATCACTGATATAAAGCCTTAAGCTTAAACATTTTTTTTTTTTTAAAGCTTATGCTAATCTTCTCAAGTGCCAGGATCTGATGCTCTTCTAGCAAGGATTGTATTCACTCCGCTGCACAGTAATTGAGACATGTAGACTCAGAAAAAGAGAAATTAAGAACCAATGATGAAAAAGTAACTAAATGATACAAATAGAGGCTAATCTTACCATTTAAACTTAAAAAAAAAAACAAAAACACACCAATAATATGTTTTCATCAAATTTCCCAGATATGACAATACCTTAACCACTTTGCATAAAGAGGTACTGATTGATGTTAATATATTCTATTCAATTAAGACCCAGGAGCCCTTGAGGGATGTCCAGCTGCCAGTGTAGGCCTGTGGGATTGGGCCTAAACTGGCAGTTGGACATCCCTCTCGCAGTTGGAGACCTCTGGCTCCTAACTGCTGCTCCTTAGCGCTGCCACGGAGGTGGGAGAGGCCCCTGCCACTGCTGCTGCGCTTGCCAGCCATGAGCCTGGCTAGTAGCTGAGCAGCGCTTCCCCTGTGGGAGCGCACTGACCACCAGGGGGCAGCTCCTGCATTGGACATCACTGGTGATCGGAGTTCATCATAGCGATCGGTCATTCTGGTTGTTCCATCGTAACGGTCGCTTAGGCTTTTATTATATAGATTATATATTATATTAACTATATGCTATGTGAAATTATATGTACTATTTTAAAAATATAATATAGCATATTACTTATCATTAAATTCATAGACCGCTGATTACAACTGCTTTAAAATTATACACATAGACCTTAGGTAGGAATAAGAGAAAATAACCTAAAATCAAATAATAAGAAAAGATTATACACATATACCTTATAAGGTTATATAATAACACGTTAGGCAACCGTTAAAAATCTTGTTTTCAAAAATAATTAATGATTTGTGGAAATGCTTTTGCTATCATTTGAAGTTAAAAAAAAAGGCATTACACATTTCTGTGTAATTCCCACTTTTATGAATATTTACAATAAATAAGCCTAGAAAAGGAAAACACATTAAAAAGATAACACTGATCATCTCTGGTATTATAGATAATGTAATATTACTTGAATTTTTTTTATGCTTTACACATTTTTAACAATAACATAAGTAGAAAAAAATATATAAATAAATTTGATAGACATACTTACTTCTGGGAGTTTAGGATTGAAATAATTAGTTACTTCAAACTCAAAGTGAGTCGCAAAACCTTCATTGAGCCAGATATTGTTCCACCAACTCATGGTAACCAAGTTTCCAAACCACTTTTGAAGATGGAAAAGAAAAGAGTTGTCTTAAATTTAGTTTAGGTAATCTTTCTTGAAATTGCATGTTAAGTAAATGTAGAATCAAAGACAAACTTTATTTGCTATCAATAAAACAGGATTTCAAAAAAAAACACATTGTTTTAACATGAAAAATATTAGTCACGCATTCATTTCCCTGAAATAATTATTTTACATTCAAAGTTTGAAAGCAATTTTTTAAAAAACTGTGGTATTCAAAAATAATGAAAACCAGAGTAGCATTTCTTAAACTGTCCACTTTGCCCATAAGTTAAATAAAGCAGAAGTTCTAAATGATCACTTAATATCTACTAATTACAGCATCTTATACAGCAGGATTCAGCTGTAAGCAGGTATGTTTTAAAAATACGATCTGATCTGTGCCCTGTACAAATCACTCAAGTAATCATGTTCTGCAAAATGGTACCACTACAATTATTTTCTACTGGAGCTTAAGCATCAGAGAGGTGGTAGAAAGTGTCAAATAGATGATGAATAGAATCAGGAAAGAAAAACACAATAATTTCCAAAACCAACAAATCCACACCCTAGTATTTAACCAAATTTTTAGAACAGTGTGATGTGCTAAGAGTTAGCCTGTATTTCAAAACAATGTGTCACTTAGGATATAATAAAAAATGACACTTTGGGTGACTAATCAAAACTTGTGGAATTATGTGTTGAATGTGTAACAGGGTGTTTGTTATTCAATCCCAGTAAATCGCTTTCCCAACATTTCTTAGGGAACCATATAACAAAATAATTTCATAGTTCAGTTATTTCTTTCTTTGACTGGCTTGTATTAATGGAGCCAAGGTCAAAAGACACATATGAAATTTTCCATCAAACCAAATTTCCGTCAAACTAGCTTCTCCAACCACAACATGAAAGTATATAATTCTAATGAAATGAACTTTGTTTATACCATTTTTGAGATGCAGCTCGAGGATTAATTATTACTCATCTCACTGACATTAATATATTGTATATATCCCTTTAACCTATCTCCCTCCCCTCCCCCCACCCCCAAAAAAGAGTGACAATCTACTGATGAAATGTGGATATCTTTCCGTGACCTTTCATGATGTACCTTATTTTGAGATGGCATGAAAACAAATAATCATAGCTCTGCTTGGCTTATTTTTCCTGAAAGGAACTTTTTGAAGCAAGTTAGTCCTTGGATGTAAATCCCTAACCCTCCAAAGTACTGTAAGGTCTTATCACTGTGATTCATCAATAACTGTTCAAATCTACCTAGGATCTGATTACATAGAGCCTCCCTTGTTTTTCTCACTATATATATCTATATATTTTAGAGAGGGCAGAAGGGAGAGGAGAAGGAGAAAGGACTGAGCCCATGACCCAGACATGTACCCCTAGTAGGAATCAAACCTGCAACCTCTAACTGCATGAGAAGACATTCAACCAACTGAACCACACTGGCCATGACTCCTGTTTTATTTTTTAAATATTTTCTTTTCCATGCCCTAGCTGGTTTGGCTCAGTGGATAGAGCCTGAGGACTGGAGGGTCCCAGGTCCAGTTCTGGTCAAGGGCATGTACCTTGGTTGTGGCCACATACCCAGTGGGGAGTGTGCAGGAGGCAGTTGATCAATGTTTCTCTCTCATCAATGTTTCTAACTCTCTCTCCCTCTCCCTTCCTCTCTGTAAAAAAATCAATAAAATATATATATTTTTAATTTTCTTTTTCAGAGAGAGGGGAAGGAAAAGGGAGAGAGAAACATCTATGTGAGAGTGAGACATCGATTGATTGCCTTCTGCATGCCCACTACCAGGGATAGGCTGCACCCAACCAACTGACCTATAGTGGCCAGGGCTTTCATTGTCCCAAGTTTTGAATAAATTTTTAAAAATTTGGTGTATGGCAAATGTTGCTGTTTTTCTTTTATACTTTTTTTTCTTTTCTATTTTTGGTAGAGCAGCTGGAAAACACCTTCATGTGGAATAAGAGAAAACATTTTACCACGTGCCTGATGCCCGATCTCGTGCGAGACAATTTGGGAAATCACCGTCTTTTGTTCTGTCAGTTCATCATTTGGTTTCAGCAATAATGATGACTCATCAAATATAATTAGTCCCCAATTTTCCATTGCACGGCTGTCAAAAGTAGGTAAGGCAACAATATCTAAATGGAATTCAATGGAGGAAACAATAGAATCATCTCTTTCAAAAAATTTGAGATTTCCAGTTATAAATATTTCAAAGTTAAATCATATAAGTACTGAAAAAATACAAGTAAATATGTATAATCTGAGAGAAGACTTTAAAGACAAAAATCAAAGACAGAAGCCAGAAAATAAATTGTTTTGATTATATAAATACCAAATACAGTAGGTCCTCAGGTTACGTTAGAAATCTGTTTCTATGGCATCACGTAACACAATTTTTGCTGTGAGTCAGAACCCCACCTACATAAGCACTGTGTCACTCACATGAAGCACACACATAGCAGTAATAAAGTAAAACAGTAAAAAAAAAAAAAAAAAAAAAAAAAATTAAAAGAAAGATAACAATCCCTGACCTTCATTTATGGTAAATAAATAATAAAAAACATAAAGCACATATGTACATACATCAAAATGACGGAAAATTTTTTTTTAATAAACTAGTGGCTCAGTGCATGAAATTCGTGCACATTAAGAGAGGATTAGCTAGAGGAAATATTTTAATATTGCTATTTACTCTTTCTCTATAATGCAAGTGTCAGAATGAAAGAAAATTAGTAAAATGTATATGAAAATCTTCCTCCTGTCAGAGTCCAGGGCATGCCACGGGATCCAGAGTTAAGTCCCTGCCTACCTGTGGTGCCTTAAAATCACTAGCAACCCAGATCCAGCTGGCTCCACCCACATTGGGTGAGATCCAGACCCGACCAGCCCTACCCGTGTCAAGCCCTGCTGGACAGGGAGCGCAGCCTCAGGTCCCCTGGCCCAGTGCCAGGGTGGACGATGTGGCCTGAGGTCCCTCAGCCCAGGGCAGGAGGAGCAGCCTGAGGTTCCCCAGCCTGGCACTGGGGCAGGGGGCACAGCCTCAGGTCCCCTGCCATGGCCAGATTGCTCATTATGCAAACTCTGCCTCCACTGTGGGTGCAGCCATCTTGTGTTATGAAAACCTTGCCTCTGCTGTGGGTGCAGCCATCTTGTGTTATGGAAACACCCCCCCCCCCCGGGCACCATCATATTTTTGATTTTGTGATGGTCAATTTGCATATTCCCCCTTTATTAGATAGGATGGGAGATGGCGACATAACCACAAAGCTATGTACATCGAGTTTGATGTAACCCAAGGACTGCCTGTACTTTTAATGAAGGACTTGTATCCAAAATATATAAAGATCTCTTTAAAAGTCAACAATAAGCAAATAAACAACTTTATAAATTTGGCCAAAGATCATAACAGACATGTCACTAAGAATATATACAAATGAAATATAACCATATGAAAAGAAGCTCAACATCATATGTCATTAGGAAATTTCACATTAAAACAATAATAAAACAAAAACAATGAGATACCACTACACACCCATTAGGATAACTAAAATCCAAAACACAACACCAAATGCTGGAGAAGATTTGGAACAACAGAAACTCTCATTATTGCTGGTGGGGATGCAAAATGGTAAAGCCACTTTGGAAGAAAGTTTGGTGATTTCTGATAAAGCTAAACATAGGCTGACCATACAGTCTAGCAACTGAACATTTACCCTAAAGAGTAATACCTAAGTTTATGCCCATACAAAAACTTGCAGACATGTTTATTGCCTCTTTATTCGTAATTGCCCCAAATGGGAAGCAACCAAGATGTCCTTCAAAGGCCAACGGATAAACAAACTGTTGGACATCCGTGAAATAGTATATTATCCTATCTAATAAAAGAGTAATATGCAAATTGACCATCACTCCAAGACCCAAGATGGCCGCTCCCATGTGGACAAAGATGGCTGCCTCCAAGTGGACATAAGATGGCCACCACAATATGGCTTACAGGGGAGGACAGTTGTGGGCAATCAAGCAAGCAGGGAGGGCATTTAGGGGTGACAGGGCCAGCAGGGGAGGGCAGTTGGGGGTGATCAGGCTGGCCAGAGAGGGCAGTTAGAAGCAACAGGCTGGCCAGGGAGCAGTTAGGCATCGATCAGGCTGGCAGAGGAGTGGTTAGGGGGTGATCAGGCTGTCAGGCAGAAGTGGTTAGGGGCAATCAGGCAGAGGCAGGCAAGTGTTTGGGAGCCAGCAGTTCTGGATTGTGAGAGGGATGTCCCAGATTGGAGAGGGTGCAGGCTTGGTTGAGACCACCCCCCACAACATGAATTTCATGCACCAGTCCTCTAGTTCAGTTATAAAAAGAAATGATCTGTCAAGCTATGAAAAATCATGGAGAACTGTAAATGTATTTCATTAATTAAGGAAGCCAGTCTAAAAAACCTACACATGGTATAATTCCAACTATATATCATTACAGAAAAGGTAAAACTATAGATATAATAAAAAGATAAGTAGTTTTCAGGGACTTGGGGGGAGGAGGCAGGATGAATAAGTGGAGCACAATGGATTTTTATGGTAGAAAAACTATTCAATATGATACTAAAATGGTGTTTACATACATTATACATTTCTCAAAACTCATAGAACTGTGCAGCACAAAGTGAACTCTAATGTAAACTGTGGACTTTAGTTAATAATAATGTATCAATGTTGCTTCATCAATTATAATAAATGTATCACACTAATGCAAGATATTAATAGCAGAAACTGGGGCAGAGTGGAGAGGAGGAAGAAAAGGTATATGGGAACTCTCTAAAAAATAAAGTCTATCTAAAATTAAACATTTAGTTCACTAAAAGATACCATAAACAAATTTGAAAGGCAAGCTGGGAAAAGTATATATCACAACTAGACATTAATTTTTTAGTAAAAAATTCTGACAAATAAAAAAAATATGAATAATTCACTAAAGAAATAATTTAAACAGCCAATAATCTTATTTAAAATGTTCAACTTCTTTACTTATCAAAAACAAAGATTAAAATAATGATATAACTTAATCTTTTAAATGTAGGAGAAGCTTACTAATTAGTACTGGTTAGCATTAGTATTAATAATTAGTTATAGGATGCCGGGACTGGTTTGGCTCAATGGATAGAGCATCGGCTTGAGGACTGAAAGGTCCCCGGTTCGATTCCGGTCAAGGGCATGTACCCTGGTTGCGGGCATATCCCCAGTAGGGGGTGTGCAAGAGGCAGCTGATCGATGACTCTCTCTCATCGATGTTTCTGACTATCTTTCTCCCTTCCTTTCTGTACAAAATCAATAAAATATATTTAAAAAAATAATTAGTTATAGGAAAACTGGCACATGGCTTGCTGATGAGGTGTTTTTTGGAAGCAATCCAGCAAAATGCTTCATAATCTTTAGAAATTTTCCTATCCTTTGACTAATCATTCAACTTTTGGAATCTATGCTCAGGCAAATAGCTCATATATTTGTAAACATTTTCTTACAAGGATTTTCTTTAATGTCCTGAAACTGGTCCTCCCTAAAATGGTAGAAGCAGTCCACTTATTCGACCACTGAGGAGTAAATAAAGTAGTTTGTCAAGTTGAATATGTAGGTATTCTATGTCTTTAAAATGACAATAAAAATTAGCCTGGCTGGTGTGGCTCAGTGGTTGAGTGTTGACCCATGAACCAGGAGGTCACAGTTCGATTTCCAGTCAGGTTATATGCCAGGGTTGTGGGCTCAATCCCCAGTGGGGAACATGCAGGAGGCACCCAATCAATGATACTCTCTTATAGGTAATATTTTCATCTCTTGCTCCCTTTCTCTTTCTCTCTCTGAAATCAATAATATACATATTTTTAAATGACAATCAAAAAAAGAATATTTAGTTATCTGGATCATGTTGATACATTAAAAAAAGAAGAAGCAATTTTCGAAGAACTTTATGTTGCCATTTCGTTAAAAACAGAAGCAAACAGAAAGACAGAGATCCAGACTGACAGGCACTGGGACATACCCAAATGTCGGCCATGGTTACATCTGTGTGGTTGCACTGCAGGAGATTTTTTCTTCTTTTTTATGTGTGTGTGCTTTTCCCTATTTTTCCAAATTTTCTACAGTGTTATCATTTATTAGTTTTGTAACTAGAAGGATAATAAAAGTTTTTTTTAAAATTTTTCTTTTACTACTACTAGAAATCTCATTCATACAATCCATCTTACATCTGTCCAGAGAATGTTCTATGCTGTGCTAAATTCAATAATTTAAGATGGCCTTACACAAGGTTGAATTGAACAGTGTGTAGGAAAGCGTGTACCCAAGTCACTTCATAGCCTCCACAGATAATGCTCTATTATCTTGGATTGAACTTAGTTGCCTTAGCCTTAAGTTTCCCATTCTTCTAACCTTCCCTTTCCTTCACCCACTCCCATCCCACCTGCCAACGCATGACAAAGGAACAAAATACATCTACATGATACCCTCACTCTAAAGAGGAAAAAGAACAAACAGACACTGAACAACTTTCTAAGCTGAGTGGCTCTCTAAGGTCATACTGTATAGATCTATGAGAAATAAAATGTTTACATATTTCCTCAAGAATCATATTATATTCACACATGATTCCAATTTTATATAGCAACAATTCACAGATGGGACTCTTAAGTCCTAACTCAATGACTCAAAACTAAAGAATATGTTTTTAAACCAACAAAACCTTACTAAAGGGAACTGGAGTGACTCATGCAGGCCTGCTAAAAGAACCCAGAGCATTGCATTGCACACTTGCATTATGAGAGAAAAGTACAGCATGCAAGAGAGGAGACAAGGTCTGGAGGATGTGAGGTTGCTAGCGAGGGATCCAAAGCCTGAGAGCTTCATGCAAACCTGCAGAGCACAGGGCACCACAGGGAGAAAGAGCAGACAGGCCTCCATGCTTTCCGGAGGGGATGGAACTCACTCCAAAACAGCAGCTAAATGGTGACAGTGGGTCCTTGGAAGCCCACCTGGATACAACCTCATCCCAGAGCCCCACATAAGGAAAACAACTGCATCGGAAGGGCAGAAGACTCACCTGTTTTTGGAAGAGGGTAACTAATATTAAATAAATCTTCCAGAAAAGAGAAGATGGGGCCTGAGATGTTCAAAGCAAAGTCTGCATTTCCATTGGCAATGGCGTCTTTCCGGGCCCAGATGCGTATCTAAATAAAAACAATTGAGCAGTGATTAGAAAAAGCGGCATTGGAAAGTGGCAGCCTGCTTGCTCCAATTCCCTGATACTCTAGAGCCAAACTCTCACTGTTTCACAAGAAGCTACATAACAAAACACTTAGATGCATATGCATGCTGAGAAAGGCCCAAAAGGCTCTTCTCTGAGTTGTGAACAGTGGCTCCCCCCAAAAGTGTGTTATTTCAGTCTTTTGCAATAACATCTATAACTATATTATAACCCCAAAACAATCTGTGCCTACCCCCACGGAAAATGTAGCTTCTCTGTCAGAGAGTAAATGGGCACTGTGGGCCCTTATTTCCTGGTTCTAGACATATTTCCAATGTTTCAAAAAAGAATTGTGTAGTTAGTGAGGATTACACAATAAACAAATTTGAGTCGTGCCAATTGAAAATGGTTTGTTGATGAAAACAGTAATAGTCCCATCTTACTGTCAAAACTTAGAATACGGTTAATTTCCCTGATTTTAAAGCGTTTGTCAAAAGTTTTATGGTTTTATAGTTGTTGAAGCAAGTAAATTATATTCTCTGTATATATGTATAGTAGGTAAAAAGAAATCCCTGGCATGTTTTATTAGTTTAATGTAACCACGTTGTTTGGGCACTTGGAATTTATTTGCATAATTTTGGTGACTATAGTAATTTGCTGTTGTTTTAACATTCATTATTATTTTAACACAAAATTATTTTATACTGCAAAACAATGCCATCTAAGCACTTTTTAATGGAGTTGCTAGTGTTAATATTGAAGAACATGTATGAAACTCAATAACCCTGAAACGAAAACAGAGGGAGAAGGGGAATTAAAATAATTGTCCTGGTGTGAGTACAGTTAATTTGAGAAAGATCTTTCTGCAGAACATTAGGGAAAATGTTAAGGAAATGAAAAACAGCACAACAATATTTGCAAATTACGGCACTTTAAGAACACATTCACCTTACTTTGCTTTAATTGCTGCTAGAAAAATGTGTCTTGAAGCACATAAATTTTGAATTATGTGAGATCTTCAGGAATGCTCCCCCTGAACAGAATGTAACACATGCTTGTGAAGCCTTCTAAAACTGATCCCCTGACTCCTTCCAGCCTTCCCCTTGCTTCAGAGGCCTCATTATCCTCAGGAAAAGGGGCCCTGGACTGAGCCCTACTTCCACAATAAACTTATCCTCCCCAACACTAATTCTAATTTTTGCATCAACAGAAAGACTACTAAACCAAAGCCCACACTACTGAGTGGAAAGAACAACCTCCTCTCCCCACATTCAAGATAATGAATGCATTTTAATCCATTTAATTATTTGGAAAATAATGGCAATAACAATTAAAGTCTCTATGTTAATTTTTTGTTTAGAGAGCTCCTCCCATAAACTACCTTTCTGTAAGCCAAAAGGCAGGCAAATAATGGAGATTTCTAGTTGGGTGCGATGGGTGAGTGGCCCCAGTGGAGCAGCAAGGAGCACTTGAAGACATAGCCACAAAGTTCCTTCAAAACCATGGCTAGTCCACCAGTGT